TGAATGAGAAAAGAGTCTGAATGGACTCACTGAGTCGAGGAGCCAACTCGACGAGTGGGTTAGGGTTTGTCCCGATGAGCTGGCTATGCTGTAACTCGGCGAGTTAGGGGTTAAATTGACGAGCTGGTCCTTCACGAAGACTTCTGAGGGACGACTTGACTCGACGAGTCACATGAGTGCACTCGGCGAGTTAGGTCAAACTGGGACTGTTGACTCGAGTTTGACTTTTTTTGACTTTAGAGTTTGGTCAACATAAGTAATGGAGACCATGGAGGGGAAAATGGTCTTTTACCTATTCCAAGAGTTAGAGATAATGAGAGAGCAACCTTTAGTGTATTTGAGTATGAGTAGAGTATTGATTAGAGATACTTATCCAATGTGTTAGGCGGAGGCTAGTTCGAGATTTCCGAGTACGAGACTTTTACTTGCTAGCTTACGAGGTGAGTCTTCTCACTATACTTACCAAGAGTGGTATCCTTGCGTGATTGAGTTGTCTTATGTGCTTATCCGTGTTTTGTGATATTCTGCATTATGTGTTTGTGATTTATGTTGAATATTGTTATTGTGAGTTTACTGAGTTGGGACCGGAGGGTCCCACTCAGACACATTGACCGAAGGGTCTTACTGAGTTATAGCCTAGAGTGGCTAATGAGCTATGTGTGGTATTTTGGGAAACTCACTAAGCTTTGTGCTTACCGTGTTATGTGTTATGTGTTTCAGGTACTTCTCAGGATCGCGGGAAGGCGCCGACTTGATTGTACACACATCGGAGACTGAGTTATGATTGAGAGGATCCTGGAGTTTTATATACAGTTTTTGAACATGAGTTTTGATGATTTGACATTGTGACACTTTGTGGTTTTATTATTGGAATAAATGTGTTTTGAAATTGAAAAAAAAATTCTTTTGGTTTGAAAATTTACGTTGTTACACGCATGCTCAAGCTCATCGGGACAAACCCTCACCGACTCGTCGAGTCGGCTCATCGACTCGGCGAGTCCATTCAAACTCAATCCTCACTCAGACGAATCTAAGCAGATCTACCACTCCACACACTAGATCTAGCATCTCAATACTCAGTTGTCACGTTAAGCTTCGATCTTTACGCTCATGCATGGTGGTTTTGCTCCAATCTACCAATACATGTTCTCATAAGGTGTTAAACACCATACTCCTCATATGGATGAATAAAGGTGGGACTTTTGGGCTTTAGGGACCTCACAAGGTCCAGATCTGAGGTCTAAACCTCTTGATAACTTAATATGCTCGAAGTCCCAAATAAAATGTGATGAAAACCCTAACTTCTCAAACTCATGAGATCTAACTAGAGGTGCACACAAAAACCGGTTTCACTATTCAAAACCGGATCCAAACCGAAACAGGATTGGGTGAAAACCGGTTTTGACCAAACCGGATCGGATCGGATTGAAAACCGGATTTTCAATCAGATCGTAATCCTATATTCCAAATCGGATTTGATACCGGATCGTAAACCGGATTCGCTAAAAACCGGATCCAAATCCGCCCCAAAATCCACTTAAAACCCACTAAAATTGGTTTAAACCAGTTTCAAATCGGATTAGAATCGGATTCGGATTTTTGTTGGAACCAGATCAGATTTTGACCGGATCCAGATCGGATTTTGACCGGATCGGATTTTTGATGACGTAAGCGAAACCTCATCGGATTTGTATCCGGATCAGATCGGATCGGATTCGGGTTTTGTGCATCTCTAGATCTAACCAAATAAAGGGTAAAGATTCAAGCTTTTTACCTTCCTCTTGAAGCTCTGGATGAAATGGCTTGAACCCCAACATCTCCTTCTTGTTCCTTGCTGAACAAACTCCTCTTCCTCCTCAAAGATGCACTAAAATCCTTCAAGGTTAGCTTGGAGACTCTCTTAGCTCACTACACTCGTTTAGGGTTTCACACAGAAAGGTTAGGCAGCTGGTGAGGCAGAAATGGGGGCATAAATTTCCTTATATAGGCCCCAACCCCGGGAAATTAGGGTTTCAGAACACATCACCAACTCGGCGAGTCGGCTCTCTGACTCGTCGAGTCCATTCATAAATCCCACGCGGTCAACTTGACTCTACTCGACGAGTTGGACTCACAACTCGTCGAGTCACTCAATAAACCTCAACATTAAACACATGAAATAATATACCTGGGTGTCCGGATGCTACACATAGAGACAACTAGCATACCACATAACACGTAATGGGTCGGCATTACTGCCTACGACCCATGGATATAGTGAGAAGACTCACCTCAAATGCAGAAGCTTACTAAAAGAAATTCCTAGCTGCTGCCCTAAAGACACCTCCGAGCTATCAGATCCAAATAACACCCAATTAGCAATTAGGTTCCATTCTAAGGCCCGCATCCATACTTGGGGTAAAATGACCATTTTACCCCTGACCCAACATGCATCAAAACTGAGGCCGAAATCCAAAATATCCACAAAGGCCCACTAATGGCCCAATTTTCCAAATTAGGCCCAACCCCATATGGGCCTTATCCTAAGCCCATAATTCCTTTAGTTACAATTATGATTACCTCAAGTACCCCCTTAGAATAACTTGGTCAAAGACAGGGTCATAAGTCAAGGTCAACGGCCAGAGTTGACCTAACACGCCGATTTGTCCTTCAACTCACCGTGTTTCTCCATAAACACACCACTAGAAACCCAACATCTTAATACATTAAGCCGACATTATCGACTCTAAGAGCTTCACAACTCAGATCTTGACCAAAATGAGATCTAGAAGGGTAAAGTTTCCAACTTTACCCCTAGGAACCACCGAAATGGGTCCAAGCCCAAACCCTAGACTTAGTAGAGTGAGGGCTTAACCATTAAGCACTTAATATTCAAAGACAAAGCCCCAAATTGCAGATCTGACACCCTAGAGCTGGAAGACCACGTAAAATTTTTAACTTTATGCTCATGCATGACTAGGAGAGGCTCAAATGTTCAAGAAGGGCTTAATAAGGGACTTAATGAATGCATGAAGCCCTTAAATCCATAAAGTTGGCACCTTTATGCTAAAAGAGTCCATGAAAACCTCAGATCTGAAAGAATAAGGCTTTGGGACGTCCTAATCCCAACATCCATCCAAACCATGGCTAAAACATAACAATTTAACCCAAAAGAGAGATCTAAGAATCTAGCAAACAAGATAAGAACTTGATACCTCAAACTCCTTGCCAAATGGATAATGATTTTGGATCCAAGACCTCTTCTCCAAGCTTAGAAACTTCAAGATCTTCTAACTCCTTCACAATGCACAAAATGGACCCAAACTTTCTTCTAAGGCTCAAATGCTTGACAATGGAGGCTACAACTCGTTTTAGGGTTTTGATAACAATGGAGGCTGAGAAGGAGGCCAACCAAAGGGACTTAAGGCCTTTAAGTAGGGTGCAACACCCTAAAAATTAGGGTTTCCAACCCAGCTGTCAACTCGCCATGTGCCGAGTTTGTTCATTAAATTCTGTGGCCAATAACATTTTGACACGCTGAGTTGAGGCTCCAACTTGCCGGGTCCCAATGAGAAAACCTAAACAACTTGGAATCAACTTCATACCGGAAATCAAGCGTTACAAAAGAGTCAAAAAAATTTTAAGAGTCAAGCTTCTTTAATAAAGCGTTAGCTTTTCTTGGCTACATATCTATAAGTATTGTTCCGGTTTAACAATCAGAAGTCACAACATTTATTAGCGTTCGGGTAAAGTTATTCTGATCCTGAATATTTGAAAGTCAAATAATTAGTTTTTCGTAATTACAAGTTAAATAATTACTTTCTAATATTCTTTTTAGGAGTAGGTGCAACAAAACTGATTAAGCAAAGGTAGACAATAATTGTTATATTAGCCTTATTTTTAACCTTTTCTGTTCATGTTCTGTGCATGTGTTATACTATACATTCATATTCCCCTGTTATACTCTTGTTTTTGAATTCATATCCCTCCATGTGGGTTTGTGTTTGTGTGAACAAGAACCAGGGACTGAGATGTATTTCCTGATTTGTGAAAACATAAATGATTGAATTGCAGTACATGAATCCAAAAACATCAAACATGATATCGTTGTCTTTTGAAGGTTATTGAAAAGGCCAAACATTCAAATCAACATCAATGGTTAACTCGTCCCTACTAGTTGGTTGGTTGGTTGGTAGGACAGGATCCATGGCTCATTGGCTCCACACCACCACACATTGTTGGGTCAGACCCAAGTGCACCACCTACTCTGGCTAAGGTGGGCCTAGCAAGTAGCAACAATTAAAATCACACTTCCATGTTTTCAACTTCGTGTTATGGTATCTAAAAGAAGTAATCAATGATAATCAATGATTTTGCATGTAGCAAACAATTATCTTATAATTATGTTTAAAATTATTGTTTAATGCTAAAAATATTATTTAACAAATGTTCCGAATGGTAACTTCTAAAAATATTATTTAACAATGTTCCGAATGGTAACTTCAATTGTCTAAATTTTATTGACCTGTAAGTTATTTAAATAAAAGTTATTCGATATACTATGATATTTACTTAATTCAATTATAATAAAAAATCATTAATTACTTCGAATATAAGCTACCAATTTAAATATATTAAAATTTGAAGAAAACAGTTTTAATGGGAACCTTAAGCTTAACATTTGTGAACGAATATGAAAAATTTAGAAAATAAATATAATTCAAAATTGAAAATTGAAAATAGCACATTGCGTTGTTGTTTAAATAAATGATATTTAAAAAATATCTAAATTAACAAGAACATCCCAAGAAACTCATTTAAATGAAAAATAGACACCATTGATACTATCTTAAGTAAATTTACACTAAATCATGATTTCCTCATTACGTGAAAAACTGGCCTAAATACGTACTGGATTATGTAGTTTCAAGATCAAGTCAGAAAATAAACAAGCACCTTACGAATTACAAACGGATAGCCAAGAATCAGGGGTTTTCTTCGGTTTAATTTCCGATTTGATCTTAAGTGGGTTTTAAGTTGTGGAACATAGCGTCCCACTTGATCTCTTCAACACCTCTACCAGACCAATATCTGCCACCATCGCCGTCGTCTTCATCGTCGGTGAAGCAATTTCCTTCATCGTCGCCGCCTTCTGTTTTCCCTTGGTCATAGTGGAGATCGTAAACCAATGGACTCGATAAGCTATTCACTCTCGCGCCTCCGGATTTAACCACCGGCGGGTAGCCATTATTGATCAAAAGAGTTGCAGAGCCTCGTCTGTTCATCACCAACCTGTTGCTCCTCTTGGCCATGGCCTCTTTCCATCTTGAACTGTAACTCCTTCTCTTCACCCTGATCATAGCCGAATCATTGTGGTGCACCCATGTTCGAATGTAACTACCCAAGGTTCTTTTGGTTTTCTTGATGGCTATCATTATTTTAGCAATTGGGTGCCAAGCAGATGAGCCTTTTGCGAGCTTGAGTATCTCAAGCCTGTGTTTGGCTATGGAGATTCCCATGCTTTGAAGGAATTCATGGTTGAAATAAGCGATATCGTCTTCTTCGAGTTGATTTTGGGAGAACGCTACTGCGTATTCGTGAATGAATGGAGGTTTAAGATGAGTTTTTGATAGCCATGAAAACCAGTCCATGGCTTGATGCAATGCTTGTGATGCTTTGAGTGGAAGATAAACTGATAAGTCTTTATATATAAAATGTAAAGGGCACCGAAAACATGTAAAAAGCTAAGATGATAAAAGTAGGGTAAAAATATCTAAGTTTTCTTTTTCGACATTTTACTAAAAAATCGATAAAACTTCAAAAACAAAATCCATTAAAATGTAACAGAAGAGGTGGATTTCCACAATCATATTTTCACAAAGAAAAAACAACCAAATCATATAAATGACATCCGACATATGCAAAATGTTACCCAAGGTGTAAATGAGGCAAATAATTGAAAAAAAAAAAAAAAAATAGACTAAGTAGAAAGACAAACATAAAAGTTGGGTAAAAATAGGGTTATTGACATAAAAGTCTCTAAGTTTTTCAGTTTTATACGGTTTGTCGCTGTAATGATTTTAGGTGTGTTAATGTCTAACATTTAGGCTCTTTTTGTCAAATATGTCATTTAGCAGGTTAATAGAGTTGTAGTCGGTAACCTGTCCCTTCACAACCCTTCTTCCCCATACAGCCATACCCCCACCCCTGTAGTCCCCCTAGTCACCGTCGAAACCCAACTCCCACCGTCGCCCCTTCTTGTTCATCACCGCCCACCCCTAGCAAGCTACGGTGACGGTGGCTTTAGACCCAGATGCAATCACCGCCCCTAATTGTTCATCACCACCATCTCCTTCACCTTTCTACTCTCTAAAAAGGTAAAACATGAATAAGAGCAAAGAGGTTCAAGGGGAAGCCGATCTTGTAACGACCAAAAAATCCAGGGTAAAAATTTCATTTTTCATTATAGTCAAACCCAAATGTTACTTAATCCAACCATTCAAAAACATTGCTTAATTAAAACATTTATCAGAGTTACATCCCAAAATCACATAATGCGGAAAACACGGGTGTGTGCGTTGCGATCAAGTCGGACTCTTCCTTTCCAAACCGATTATACCTGAAACCATAAACAAAATTGTAAACACGAAGGTTAGTGAGTTCCCCATAACATACCCCACACAATCCACATAATCACATAAACCATATCAGCCATATAAGCTACATAAGCCACATCAACCACATAAGCCATGCATATACACATATAAGGATGCCATGGAAACCCTCCAAGGTCTCATACACATAATCACATAAATCATATCAACTACACAATTCATGCATATAAACATATAGGGATGCGATGGAAACCCTCCAAGGTCTTACACCGAGTGCCACTAGAACCCCCACGTGGTCTTAACTACCTGCCATGGGAACCCCCACATGGTCTTCACTAACCGCCATGGAAACCCCCACATGGTCTTCACTGACTGTCATGGGAACCCCCACATGGTCTTAACTAACCAAGGAAATATCATGCAAGCTAAACATACTAGGATGTAATGGAAATCCTCCAAGGTGTTACACCAATGCCATGGGAACCCCCACATGGTCTTAGCCTGGAATGTCATGGGAACCCCCCAATGGTCTGACATCTAACTGCCTCGGGAACCCCCCGAGGTCTTCCATGCAAGTATCACAGAGACGACTAGCATATCACATAAAACATAATCAACTAGCATACCAGATATCACATAATCGGCCATGGGAACCCCCACATGGTCTTCGCATAAATACATAACATATTGACAACATATTGGCAAGTAACCACTACATGTCGGAGTCACGAAGACAACTGGCATTGAAACATCCCAAAAATACAACCCAAAAATTTTTGTTTGAAAACTTTACTATACCATAATATCAAATATTAAAAGATAAATCCATGAATCATGTATCTCAAAATATCATAATAAATTTATCAAATCGAAACTAGTGTCAAGATCATATCAAAATATCAGAGTCTAACTCCCAAGCTGAAACTGTGGTGTGTGCCATGCCATCATCCCGAGCCCTTCCCTTTGCTAGCTGAAGTACCTGAAACCAAAACTGAAACTGTAAGCACGAATCTTAGTGAGCTCCCCCAAACTACATATACCATACAATAACATATAAAGCAACTACTGGGCCTTGCCCACTGCATCAGACCGAAGTCCGGAAGCTGCATCGGACTGAAATCTGGAACTAACCAGGGCCTTGCCCTCTGCATCGGACCGATGTCCGGAAACTACATCGGACCGAAGTCCGGAACTAACCAGGGCCTTGCCCTCTTCATCGGACCGAAGTCCGGAAACTGCATCGGACCGAAGTCCGGAACTAACCAGGGCCTTGCCCTCTGCATGAGACCGAAGTCCGGAACTGACTGAACATAGCATAGCATAATCATAACTACTAGCATAAACACATATACTG